AAAAGCATTCTTTTTTTTATCATGATAACGTCATCAAAATGAAAAATAAAGGGACACTTCTGAAAGAGAATTGTCTCAGCTATACCATACTCACTGGTGGAAGACAATCGATCAAGAATAAGCAAGATACGTCAAATAAGTTGAAAAATAATGACGTCATAAATAAAATTTCAGTTTTTAAAAAATTAGATAGCAATATTTTGACGTCACAATGTCCGATCAGCCATAATGATCTATAAAATCATATCTACAATTCATGTGCTTTCAGAATATGTAAAAAAAATTAGGGGTTACCTTTCATCCTAAGGAGCTATAACTGATTAAAAGTAGGCATAATTTTATAGTCAGGAGGCATTTGTCATTATTTTGGCCTTACTTCAATTATTTAGCCAAGTTTGATTTTTCACTTTTATGTGATCAATGACACCACAACAAACAATTTTCAGCTTATTGTCCAATTTGTAGATGCGTTTTTCACTCGTTGGGGGCGCTTAAAAAAAAATGGCGGTTTGTGATATTGGTGCCTATATCTCAGCAACCACTGATGGTAGAAGCTTCTAAATGGTCTCAAAATGTTCACAATGTATATATTACTATTTGCGCTAATAGAACATTTTGCTGAAAAATGGCCGGAAATGCCATTTCTGGCGATTTGACCTTTGACCTTGTATGCTCATATCTCTGTATTAATACTAGTCATACAGACCTGGAAATAATTTCAAATTGTTCGCAATATGTATATTTATATTTACTTTAATGAACATGTTTGTTCAGAAATGCCAGGAAGCGTCATATTTGACCTTTGAAAATAATAAGTTTGCGTTTGTATATTCTATAACTGATAGATACTGTTTCAATTTTAAATAAATACTACATTTCTGTACGATTTATCGGAGGTTCAATGGTTATATTGTTTTATATCAGATCCACTGGTAATACTAAGTTTTGATATAAATTAAGGCCACTCATTGTCCACACACAAAATACAGGTTTGTGATTGGCTGAAAGTACATGCAGACTAGAATACAGGTCATTTTCTCATGGTAAGTGTTTGTACTTCGAATACCACTTTTATTGGCAAATAATAATAATGATAATTACTAGTATAAATGGACATTGTTCAATAATGTACCTATGGTGATATAAATATAGTTTAGATAGCCATTTAATTATCAATATGAACATGCTGTGCCATTTACATCGATAGACCCTGACCATGCAATTGAACAAGAGCATAAAAAAATGAAAGTAAAAGGTGGTTTCGTTGGTATAACAGGCAATAAACATGCTCTTGAGAAATATTTCATCATAGCTCCTTCATTAAGCAGAGCCGTCAGTGAGTTCAAAGAGTATTCTGGTATTAAATGCAGGCAACCATCTTCACTTCATCATGAGTTGAAAGGAAACAAAAGTTTAAAGATGATAGAAAATGCTGCCAAGCTTGTTGATGTCCTTGCCAAGGAAGGTAATCCATTTCAACAAACGGACATGTTCAATTTAGTGACATTTGTTGTAACCTCAAATGAAGTGGGTCAAACAATTGCAAATCGCGACAAATTAAGAAAAGATGCATTTGATAAATTTGTGTCAACACGAATGGTTGAAAAACCCGTACACTTTTGGGACTCTCAAAAGAAAAACAACTTCTCCTACTTCAAGGATGTCGGAGCAGTGGCAAAAACTAAATTAAAGGTCAATTAGTTTCTATAAAACAAGAGATGAAGCTGCTATCTAGATTGTTGGTTGTGGCAAAGAGCAGACCAGAATTTGCGCTTAAAGATGTCATAGGAACATACGAGTTCAACTGCACGCCACCGTCAAATTTTCATCCTGACGGAGGAATGATAATGCTTTCTGGGAAATCAAAGGTACTGCAGTCAATCATGAACATTACTCTACCGGATAATGTTACCAAACCTGCACAAAACGACAATACCACAAAAATATCAATCTTAATTATTGATGGGATGTGTATCGTTAATATGGTAAAGAAGGTATCTGATAAGTTCAATGCTTCTGACTTTGCATCTGAGTGTGTTAACATGATCGTATGAGTATACCATGATGGTATGAGTAAACCATATGATGAAATTCGTGTTGTTTTTGACCAGTACCTACCAGGCTCTCTAAAAGAAATTACACGAGATAAGAGAACAAAGAAAACGACTACCATCCAATAACACGTAAATGACAACACAGAGATCAAAAACATTAAGACATTTTTATCGCACATAGAGACCAAAGCTGAACTGACAAAAGATGCCAGAGATGAAATCGGGACATCATACTTTAGAGGAAGGTGACCAAATAGTTTTGCTAAATACCTTTGATTGTATGAAGAACGCCATTGTTGACATACTTTTCGTGGATACAGATGTATTTATTCTTTTGACGGGAAGCTATCCTATGCTTCCTCCAATGACAACCTTTTGTAGGAAACGAGGTGAAAGGATATCTATCTGGGAATGCTATTACAAACTTGGAAAACAAATATCATTGATTGGATGGTACGCATTCAAAGGTACAGATAACACCGGGACATTTGCTGGAAAAGGAGTAGTAGCACATTTCAAAGCGCTTATGCGATGTGACGACGAAATACTAGATGCATTTGTATATGGACTGAGCTGTGAAATACCAGATTGTCGATATTCAGGCAAATGGAAAGATATGTGTGCCTTCTTTACAGCACCGCAAAGATCAAGGCAGATAATGTGAAAGACCTGAGATGGATATTATTTGCACAGAAAGGTAAAGAAGGACAGCAATTACCTCCAACCATGGGAACGCTTAGACCACACGTGGAAAGCGCATACTATATGGCCCTGGTATGGAATTCGTCATGTAAACCAAATCCGTCTATTCCATCAGCAACAGGATACTCATGGATCTAGAAGATGGTAATTTAAAGCCTGTGTTCTGCAAAAATCAACCAGCACCAGAGGCTCTTCTAGAAATGCATAAATGTACTAGCAATCAGGGGTGGCGCCAGAGGGTCCCCGTCGGGGAAGCATAGCCCCCCGTCGGGGAAGACGATAAATTTTGTCGGTGAACAAATAAAAAAAAATATTTACATGTAATATTCGTTTAGCCACCATATCGTTTGTGTTAACTTTTCATCACAACAACAACCACAACAACAACAACCACAACAACAACCACAACAACAACCACAACCACAACCACAACCACGACGACCACGACCACGACGACGACCACGACGACCACGACGACGACGACGACGACGACGACGACAACAACAACAACAACAACAACAACAACAATAATAATAATTCAATGAGACTAATTAAAAATAATTTGCGTTCTTTTATGACAAATGCTCATTTAGATAGCCTCATGATGGTTGGAATACATCGTGATAGGTGAAGCAACCTCGACCATGACAACGTGGTTGACAGATTTCATGCAACATATCCAAAATATAGAATTTCACTTTCAAGAATGCATTGCATACTCTTTGTTTCTTGCTTTATTGAAAATGTTTTGGTTTTGGTAGCTGATGTCAACATTAGAAAGCATAGCCTACATGAAGTCATATTATAGTAACTCGATGCCTATCAAATAAGTAATAAAAATTCGCCATAATTCATAAAATATCCGTGGCCTGGACCCCCACCGGGGGCCCTAGACGGCCCCCTGGCCCCCAGCCAAGTGAGACTCGATTCGCTCCACTAGCCCCCCCGTCTGGGCCTTTAGCCACTCCGTCGAGCAGGTCCTGGCGCCACCCCTGCTTGCAATGGTTCATGCTCAACCAATCTTTGTGGGTGTAAGAAGAACAATTTTCTCTGTACTGATGCATGTGAATGTGGTGATAGATGTGAAAATACAAAGGACTTTACAACAGAACTAGTAGGATAATATTAAGGAACTTTATTGACTGGATTGGTAAATGGCAACCTGATCATAAGATTGTTGGTCATACTACTTTTATAACTTTTAAACAATATTTCCTACCGAAGAAATTATTAATATAAATGTTATAACACTTTTAACACACAAAATACATTATCTAAGTAAAATCAGTAAAGGATATACGGTACCCTAACCGGAACGCATTTTGTATCAAAGGTCAAATATGACGTTTCCTGGCATTTCTGAACAAACATGTTCATTAAAGTAAATATAAATATACATATTGCGAACAATTTGAAATTAATTTCAAGTCTGTACGACTAGTATTTACAGAGATATGAGCATACAAGGTCAAAGGTCAAATCGCCAGAAATGGCATTTCCGGCCATTTTTCAGCAAAATGTTCTATTAGCGTAAATAGTAATATATACATTGTGAACATTTTGAGACCATTTAGAAACTTCTACCATCAGTGGTTGCCGAGATATAGGCACCAATATCACAAACCGCCATTTTTTTAAAGCGCCCCCAACGAGTGAAAAACGCATCTACAAATTGGACAATAAGCTGAAAATTGTTCCTTGTGGTGTCATTGAACAAATAAAAATGAAAAATCAGACTTGGCTAAATAATTGAAGTAAAATACAAATGCTTCCTGACTATTAAGTATACATAATTGTTGGCGTACGCGCACTTTAGTCGCGAGAACGGAAAATTAAGGTACCTGACATTTAACCTTGACCTGAAGATTATGCTCACTTAATATGATTCAGAAATGACGAATGGTTAAGATGATATGGGCTTATCAACGTTTTGAGGAAAGAAAGATGTGGGGGGGTCAGAATAAACAATTTTTTTTACCATGATGATGTCATCAAAATGTAAAAAGAAGTAAAATATATGAAAGATAATTGTTTCAGCTATAACATACTCAAAGTAAAAAACACTTTGTTACGGAAACTACAACGAGAATTAAAAAGACTAACCTGGTTCATGGAGACTCGAGTCGTAACAATGACAGCATGACTATTTCTAATGAAAGCCCTTATCGGGAAGTTAGAAGTGTGAAAGAGAATCTTCTTGGACCCAAGACTTAGCTCCGTGCTGGTGCTTGGAATGTCCGTACTATGTACGAAACATCAAAACTTGCACAAATTACAAATGAGATGAAACGCCACAAGATACAGATCCTAGGAATCAGCGAAGCACGCTGGACCGGTTCGGGAAAAATCAAAACAAATGACGGATATACGGTAATTTTCTCAGGTCATGAGAACATTCATTTATACGGGGTTGCTGTTATAATTGACAAAGAAATCTCAAGTACACTGTTGGAGTGGGAACCTATCAGCGACAGACTGATCCGAGCAAGGTTTAATTTAAAATACTGCAAACTATCTGTTCTACATATGTTATGCCCCAACTAATGATGCAGATGAAGATTGCAAAGATGACTGGTATGATCAACTACAAATGGCAATCTCCAAAGTACAACATGACATGCTTCTTATCATGGGTGACATAAATGCAAAAGTTGGATTAGACTATAGTAATTTTGAAAGAACAATGGGCAAACATGGATGTGGGGAGAGAAACAACAATGGAGATAGACTTGTTGAAATCTGTGCAAACAACAACCTTGTCATAGGAGGAACATTATTTCCTCACAAGTCAATTCACAAACACACTTCGGTATCCCCAGATAAACGTACCACAAATCAAATTGACCACATAATCATCAATGGAAAATGGCGCAGATCACTTCAAGATGTCAGAGTGTTCTGTGGAGCTGATGCTGGTAGTGACCATTATCTTGTCATATGTTCTGTTATGTTAAAGCTACATAGGGTTACGCAATCAAATTCCAGAAGCAGAAAATTAGATATTGCTAAATTAAAATTGGAAGATACAACAAATATGTTCACAATACAGTTAAGAAATCGATTTAGTACCTTACAAGATGAGTTACTAGATGATAACGACCCAAGTGTTGAGCAGATATGGAGCTCAATCAAGGAATCCTATGTAGATACAGCAAAAAATGTTCTCGGATACAAACAAAGATGATGCAAGAAATGGATCAGTAATGAGACATGGAAGAAGATAGATGAAAGATAGGAAATAAAGACAAGTTTGTTGAACATCAAGTCTGCTAGGCTCAAAGAAAGATTCACGAAAACATACAAATCAAAGGGCAAAGATGTGAAGAGAAGTGCCAGAAAGGATAAGAGACACTATGTTGAAACTCTTGCTGATAGAGCTGAGGAAGCAGCAGCAATGGGGAATATGAATGAAGTATATAAAATCACCAAACAGTCACCAAGTCTGCTAGGCTCAAAGAAAGATTCACGAAAACATACAAATCAAAGGACAAAGATGTGAAGAGAAGTGCCAGAAAGGATAAGAGACACTATGTTGAAACTCTTGCTGATAGAGCTGAGGAAGCAGCAGCAATGGGGAATATGAATGAAGTATATAAAATCACCAAACAGTTGAGCAACAAATACAAAACTAACCCGACCCCAGCTATAAACGATTTAAATATTGACACAACCTCACCATCCATTGAAGAAATAAAATCTGCAATTAAAGCAGTGAAAAATGGGAAGGCATGCGGAAACAATTCAATCCATGCCGAAATGCTCAAAGCAGAAGTTGACCTGTCTTCAAGAATCATATACAACTTATTTGAAAAAATCTGGTCTGACGGTATTATGCCTGAAGACTGGTCTAAAGGATTTTGACAGCATACACTGAGTTACCCTTTGGAAAATTCTCCAACATTACGGTATACCCTCAAAACTAGACTAGAACACTTTTCCGAACAAGTCAGCTTAAAAATAAACTCAAGAAAAACAAAAATCATGACTTTTAACACCAGAACTAAGCCTCAAATTTTTGTGAATGGTAAATGGCTGGAATCTGTTGATAGCTTTACTTACCTTGGTAGTATCATCAGTATTGATAATGGCCCAAAAGATGACATCAAATCCAGAATTGGAAAAGCACAATATGCCTATGTCCAACTCCGTCCAATATGGAAATCAAACAACTTCAGCCTCAAGACAAAAATTTGATTGTATAACAGCAATGTTAAATCTATACTATTATATGGATCAGAATGTTGGCGAATAACAAAACTAGATACTAGATGCTTAGACTCCTTCCACAACAAATGCCTATGAAAGATTTGTAAGATATTCTGGCCAAACAGAATATCTATTAATGAATTATTGAAAAAAACAAAGAGTAGATGTGTCAGCATTGAAATAAAACTCCGCAGATTTAGATGGCTTGGCCATGTTTTGAGGATGCGAAAGAACACCGAAGATCGCTCTAAGATGGACACCACCAGGGAAACGGAAAGTAGGCCGTCCAAGGATAACATGGAGGCGTATGGTAGAAAAGGAACTTAAAGAAATTGGTCTCACTTGGAACAGTGCTACTATCATAGCAAAAGACCGGGATAGATGGAAGGATCTCGTTGTGGCCTTATGTCCCTCCAGGGAAGAAGAGACTTGATGATGATGATGTACGTGCATAAAAATGCGCGCGCTGTGCCAAAAATTTGAAAAATGTTGAAATGCTCAGAATGGCCTGAAACGTGCTCTAATTTAGTCAAAAAGTGATTTTGAGCATTTTAAAAATTTGACGCACATGTATGCGCGCGTTATGATGCGCACTCATAAAATTAAGACAAGTGACATTCAAATTTGACCTGAAGTTTATGCTCACTGAATATGATTTCGAAATGGCAATTGGTTAAGATGATATGTTCGATTATGTAACACGTTATTAAAAACGCAAAATTACGCGTAGATGACGTCATTAACATGCTCACATTGACTAATCCAGATTAAACCAAATGTTCGTTGAAACTGCCATGTTCGTAGCTCGCGCAAATG